ATGTCCCCAAGGTTCATCCATGCTGTAGCTTGTGTCAGAATTTCCTTTCTTTTTAAGGAGGGCATATATATGTGTGTGTGTGTGTGTGTGTGTACATTTTCTTCATCTGTTGATCAATTGATGGACATTTTGGTTGCTTCCACCTTTTGGCTGTTGTGAATAATGGTGCTATGAGCATGGGTGTACAAATACCTCTTCAAGATCCTACTTTCAGTTCTTCTGGGTATGTATCCTGTTATGGACTGAACTGTGTCCCCTGTAAAATGTGTGTGGTGAAGCCCTAACCCTCAATTCGACTGTGTTTGGAGATAAGAGTCTTTAGGTAGTAATTAAGGTTAAATGAAGTCATAAGGGTAGGATCCTAATCCCACAGGACTGGTAGCCTTATAAGAAGAGAAAGAGAGATATACCCTCTCGACCACTAACCCCATGAATCAATGAAAAGCCATGTGAAGACATAAGAAGGCCGTGGCTATCAGCAAGCCAGGAAGAGTCTTTACCAGAGACTGAATGGGCAAGAACCTTGACCTTGGACTTCTAGCATCCAGAACTGTGAGAAGTCATTTCTGTTAAGCCACCCAGGCTAGTGTTCTGCTATGGAAGCCCTGAGTTGACTTAATACATATCCAGAAATGGAATTGCTGTCATGTGGTACTTGTTTAATTTTTTGAGGACCTGTCATGCTGTTTGCCATAGTGACTGTGCCACTTTACACTCCCACCAACATGGAGCTGACTTTTGAATGGAAGGGAAGAGGTAGGTGAGGACAGAAGAGAGCACCTGAAAGCAGAGAGGCCTTTAAGGAATCTTGCACCAGAGGCAGGAGGGGTGCTTGTAGGGGATGAGCCTGAAGAAGTGGGCAGGAGGTGGGGCCTTGTATAACTTTTATCACAAGCTTGTTCTTTATCCCCAAATCCATGAAGAGTCCTGAGAGATTTAAAATGGTGAGGTGGGCTGGGAGGAAAGGTTGGCATAATCAGATTTGCGTTCTAAAAAGCCCACTTGCAGGAAGGTAGAAGATGGGTTAGACATGGTAAGGCAATTAGAGGGATTCAGGAAGTGACAAGGGCCTGAGAGAAAGCCCCGGGAGTGGAGAGAGGTGTCAGAGGATGCTGAGGAGATTCAAATTCAGGCTCAGAGACAGGCTGGGACTTAGGGTTACTTCCACAGCAGGCAAACCCTAAGGTGACCCCCATGATTCCCCTGATGTCTGTGTCCTGTACAATCTCCTCCCTTTGAGTGTGGGCAGGACCTGTGACTTGCTTCCAGGCAACAGAATATGGCAAAAGTGAAGAGAATTTGAAGATATAATTAAGCTCCCAAAGCAGTTGATTCTGAGTTCATCAAAACAGAGTATCCTCGGTGGCCTTAGTCAGGTAAAGACACTTAAAAAGAGGGACTGGGCCCTCCCCGAGGTGAAAGACAATCCTATAGGCTTGGTAATGTAAGCAATCATGTTGGGAAACCCATGTGGCTAGGAACTGTGGGTGTCCTCCAGCCCGCAGTCAGACAGTAACAAGGAAATGAATTCTGCCAACAGCCTGAGGGAGCTTAGAAGTGGCTCCTTCCCCAGCTGAGGCTCCTAATGAGCATGCAGCCCATTTCCACCTTGGGTGCAGCCTTGCCACACCCTGAGAGCTCAGCTCAGCCATGCCCAGACTCGACCCAGAAAACTGCATAATAAGTATGTGTTGCTTTAAGTTGCTAAGGTTGTGGTAATTTGTCATGGAACAACAGAAAACGAATACAACTTCTATGGATCCTGCAGGTGCCACCCCGGAAAGAGCTGGGAGCAGGAGAAGGGTAATCATAACCATAGTGAACAATTTATGGATTCCTTACATAAGCCAGGCACTGTATTAAGATTCTGAATGGCTCTGATTTATTACCCACAAGAGTAAATTGTGTTAATTGACCATTGTACACGGGAGTCCCCCCTCTTGAGAGAGGTGGGCAGGCCAATCCATGTTTAGCCAAATATAATGTCTATTCCTTCCCCTCCAAGCCCAGGCAAATAATTCCCAATCAGAAAGCACGTGATTCCTGCTTTGAAAATTCTAGAATCTCTTGGCCCTTAATCAAGGACTTTTCTTCCTTTAGTTTCTGCCAGCTGGATTCTAGTAAGTGCCATGGAGCTACTGAATTTTATCATCCAGCAGAGAAGAAGGAGCCTCAAGACACCTCATGACTCATCTTCTGTTACATCTTCCCTGAAGAGAAAGTAAGAAATATTAAGACACATTTTTCACCACGGAGAAGTTTTATTTAGGTGGACACAGCAGTGTAGGACCGAAACCGTGTTTCACCTTTTATCTGTAGACACAACAGCCTTGGTTTTTCAGCCTTTCATCCCTATTTACATGGAGGTCAGCCTGATCAGAATGCAGAACTTGAAAAAGTGACTTATGTAAATAGGTGTTGTGATAGTGATAAAAGAAGAATGAAAGGTAATAGTGATGACCACCAAAATGCAGAGCTTGCAAGATCCTTGTGCTTTTTTAAAGGCCATTTTCTAACACCATGATATGTTCTCACCCTTCAGTCTCTGTGGTATTAGAAACCAGTCATTCTTGCTGAACGACACAGCACAAAGAACATGCATTTTTCTTTAAAAGTCTGGAGGAAATTTAGTCATTAAAAAGAATTTAAATTACAATTAGAGCACCACTTGCAAGAACACTGATAAATTATAATTATGGGGCTTTAAAAAAGTCAATTTGTGAAAGTGGAGCTGATGGCGTCAGTTTTTGCAGGGAACGCTTGTGACCGTAGAATTCTACAAGGATTCTCCCCTCCGGTGGGGCAGGGGAAGCACTTGTGTGAGGAGCTTTCAGGAACTCAAAGAGCATTACTGGTCAAGCCACATGCTTTAAGTGGCAACTATTTTTACAGCTGAAAGAACCCTGGAAACATAATACATTTCATTTAAAGCAGGCAGGACAGAAGAATCATGAACCAACATCTATTACACTCCATAAATGACACAATGCAATCTGTGTCAACCTTTTTTTTAAAGGTTTCACTTTACTTGTGAAAAACAGGGCCAAAATGCCCAGGATGGCCCAGAAGGAGCAAATTCATCTCAATGCCCTCAGAAGAAACCTCAGTTACTGGTAATTGCACATTTCAATCAGTATCCCTTTTCAAGAGGTTTTTCTTGGGAAATTACCAAGACCAGGACCTTTAAAACCAGTTTTTCTAATCATTGCACTACAACACTGTAACTTGCATTAAACCTGAAAAGCGGTTACGACTCATTCCACAATTAAAAAGCAAAGAACGGTGACTACTTATATGTGGAAGCCTGTTCTTTTGCTGAAACACCCCTCTCTCTACCAAGAGGCTAAATGAGACATTCCTCCCCTCTCCTGTGGAGGACCATTTGCCTTTTAAAATCAAACCTTGGTATGGTTGTTTAGGATTACTTTGTCCCCTTTTAAAAAGCAGTGAATGACTCTTCAGCCTCAGGAAACTGGCCTCTCCAAACTAGTCCTTTATGAATGCATGAGTTAACAATCCTCTAACACTTTTTCCCAAGTCACAATGTGCTGCGACCAGGCATCCCGGTCAGCCTTTTAGCACCATGACTATTGTTCACAAGCAATTTCATGCTGTTGTGGGCTTGTCCTCCCCACCCCGTGTGAGGTAAGGTACAAAAGGCCATCAGAGCTCTTGCTATTTAAAATCATTATCTATGTTACTGCTCTGTCCAAGCTTCAGCCTGGGGGATTTGTGGCTAAAGAACCTCTGGGGAAAACTGCAACTAGACTCTCAAAAGTATGGGACAGAGAGTGTCCCAAGAGAACAGAGCATTTGCAGGGAGTTTCCTGGAAGGGACTTAATTGTGGCTACTCTTCCTCTCGGTAGCTGCCATTGCTTTTACTAAACTCTGAACTCTGCAAAGACACCGACGTGCCACATTATTACCAGCCCCACAGCCAGTGACTAGTGTGACGTCTGAGACATCACAGACCCTACTGGAGCTCAGAGTAGGGATAAGGAAATGAATAGAGCCAAAGACTCCAATGACCTAATTCTTATAAAAGGATGGCACATGACAGGGCTTAGAGAGTTCCTGGTGTCCTAAAAGAAGGTATCAACTTTTACCACTTCAAAATACAAATTAGGGGTAATCTACAGAGAATACAGGGCTTTTTTTGGGGGGGAGGGGTGAGAAGCATTATCATAGAAAAATATATTTTAGAAATCTTCTCAAATTGTAAGAAGAAACCAGTGTAGAGACTTGTGATGGAACTTCTTAGATGCAGCGATATAAATATGTAGCAAGACTGATTAGATTACTGCCATTTCAAAGTCACACTGTTATTCAATGGTAATAAATATCATGTAGTAAGAATAAAGTACTGATAGCATCCTTGATATTTATCATTAGCTTTCTATAGCAGAAACCATCACAGAGGCACAAAAAAATCTGCTTCTGTTGAAAAGTCTGTTGAAATTTTGAAAAAGCAGAAAGCAGCTTATATAACTTGTTCTTCATGAAACAGTAATTAGTTTAGGTAAAACAACTCTCCCCAGTAGGCAAAGGTAAATTTTGACGTTCCTGAGGATTACTCTTTTGCAATTTGTTAAGTTTTTAAGAATAAAAACAAGGAGGTCCACAGATAAAATTTTAAAGAATTTTGCATAAAATGTAAACATAGTTAGGATCTATTTACATGGTCAGAATTGGGAAAAGTTTTTTTTATATGATTCAGAGTTGGTCTTAAATGTTTATGAAATAATGCTTGGGTATTTGTAACATTTATTCTATAATTTTCTATCCATGCAAGAACATTCTTCCCCCATGGCCTCAATTTTGACATCATAGGGTTCTAAATTAAAATGGATTTTTGAAAGACATGCTTCAACATAAATAAATGGCTAACTTGTTCTGATTTCATATGGCAGATGTCATTTACACATTCTCGTCATAAAAGGCAAAATGCCCCTCACTTTAAGCATCTCGTGTTCTGTTAATTTGTTTAATTAATGTCCTGTTTCAAATGCTTTTGATAACCAGGGAATGCCCTACAGAAAATCCCTTGGAAAGTACCTGCATTAATCTGTTGTATGTTCAGATTTCTCCACTGGGTGCTTTTGGAAGCAAACTTTCCTGAACAGAGATCACAATTAAATAACTGTTAGACTCTATCTCAACTAAATTTTCAGCAGGGCAGAGCCTGGGCCTGCTGCCCTTCACAGCAGAGTATGACAAATAGTGGTTGGAGGATTTCAGTGAGCCAAGGCCGACAAGCAGCAGTGCGGAGAGAGGCTGGGTGAACATGAACCGAGGCACCAGCACTGTTCCCCATTTAAGGGGCCATCAAGAGCTGGTCCGCTGGGTCCACAGTCAGCCAGTGCAGGCTTTTTTTGTCCATCAGTCATTGAGGACACATAGAGATTCATATTAAATTATGTCCTGATATGTTTGTGATTATTTCATAAAACAGAAAAATCTGAAGTCCTTGCTCTCTAGTAGCTCTGAGTTCCATCCCACCATCTCCACAGACCCCATGTTCCTGTGAGGCACTGAGAGGCCCGATGAGTCTTCCCCGTTTTCTCTTGATGAGGACTTCCGCAGACAGACACCGTGGTTTACCCATCGCATAGCAAGATCACGAAGCACGCTGTTCTTCTTCCAACACGTCCTTCCACAACGTGTTGCTGACCGTCATTTGCACTAGGGATTCAACACGATCGTCTCTCTCCCAAGGACCACCTGCTGCACACCACACCGGCTGGGAACCCAGAGGTGCTTCACCAAAATGAATCCCATGTCATAGAGGTCACAGGACTGAGGTTCAAGGAAAAAAAGTCATCAGCAAGAAGAATCTAGAAGTCTCTGTCGAGCATTCTTCTCACCATTATTTCTTTTAGTTTCATTATGTACATTCAAATCTGTCAAAATGGAAAACAAGTATTTACAAGAAGTCACACAGCAGGAACCACCGGCACGAGTCAGCTTCTGCTATAAGGTGACCTCTTGTTCTCTGCCTATCTAGCATTTGGTTCTTAGCCAATTTCAGAGCACAGCGAAGTCCGGTGAGGGCAGCAATTAAATCAATAAACTCTCAGCCCTCTTTGAAAGACAGGACAACAGACAAGAGGATCAGAAGTACAGGGAGAAAAGCCAGCAAATAAGACAAAAATATGCAAGAATGACAGCAAGCAGGAATAGCTTGAGCAGGAGGTGGAGGGTGCAACAAAGAGATTGAGCAGAAAAGGGAGGGAAAAGTCCAGAGAAAGCACGGACGTTTTCCTTCTTGGGAGCTTCAGGGCAGCAGCAATTCTTTCCCTCTCTTTTCCAGTACTGAGGGCTTTCACCCAAGCCCACACTGGAACAACTGGTTTAACAATGCTGGGCAGGAAAAGACTGTCAATCGTTCATAAGTGGCAGCTACCAAGGCTCTCCGTGGGCTTCCTCAGCCTCTACCCTGACCGCTAAGCCTACCTTTGAGCTCTGCCATTTGGTTCCCCGGCTCCTCTCCCATCGCGTCTGCAGGCTTGGGTTTTTTGCCGTCAACAACATCTGTCTTGATCATGCCGAGGTTGGTCAGGAAAAGCATTGGGTCGATACCCTGACCACTGCTTTTAATGTTCTCCAGTACCTTAAGACACCTGTATGACTTGAGCTCACTTATATTCTCCTCCAAGAAAAGATTGTAGAGACTCAAGTCGTTGTACCCTTCAGACTTGAAATGCAGGACATCAAACGTGGGCAGGATCTCATACGCTTTGAGAACATCTGTCTTCTGTCGGAACGGGACAAACAGCGTGTAGACAACCACGGGAGCCAGCAGAACATAAACCATGAGGTTAATGAAGCTGAGCAACTGGAAGATGCCGACCGCGATGAGTTTGCACTGGAACCGATCAGGGACGGTGCTGTCATTTCTCAGGATCCCTGATTTGATGCTGCAGACAAATTCATCTGAGAGGGAGGAGAGGCTAAAGTAATAGCCCAGGTACGCGCACGCTAACAGTATAACTGTGAGTGTTAGCACCCGGCAGCTGATGTACTTGACAATTAAATTATTGGAGTTTTTCTTTGTCTTCAAGTATTGCTCCACAATGGGGTACTTGAAGTGGCTTTCAGATATCTCCCACAGACTAAAAAACAGAAAGAAACAAAAATAATTTAAGCCCTTACCAAGACCATCAAATATTAAAGACATAAACATATGCAACATCACACTAAAAATCTCCAAAGCCTTCCTACCCATCGTTTTCTACTTATAACTTCATTAGCAGATCAGAGAATAAAACCAAGTTAAAAAAAAAAAAAAGAGGAAAGAAAAGCAAGAATAAAACACTTTCCCCTTTAATATTGTAAAGGTCTGGTCAGTTATATGAGTTTAAAAAAAAAGATTTTTGGAACACCTGGCACCTAGTAAATGTTAAATGTTTGTTAAATAAATCTGGTAGTTCTTATTCTGTGTTTTTAAAAAGCTGTAATTTTCTCCTCAAGAGTGCAGAACAAAGAAGAAATTTCCAGCCCAATTAGAACACTTATGTCTCCTGCAGGTGGGCGACGGGAAGCAGGCAGCTCAGTGGGTATGGGCTCAGGTCCCAGCTCTCCCACTGGTAGCGTTAGGGTACTGTGCATTTTTATGTGGTTGGGGGGACAATAAACAAACATAGTCATAGCAATGTGCTCATGGTTAAATGAGATAATATACTGAGAGAACTTATCAGTACCTGGGATTTGTTAAGAATTTCTATTTAAGAGCTATTAATATTATTAGTAGTAGTGTTGATAACAAGAACCAGAGGAAGACTATGGAACAGGCACTGTCCAACTGGCCCCCCTTCTCTACAGCAGTGCTCTAAGCTCAGGAGCCTCATGATTCTCCAAGTCCTCTGTTACGGAGTTGTCAAAGCCAGCCAGCCACGCCTGGCCTGTCACCCCTACTAGGGCTACAGTTTAGAATGGAAGACAGTGGCATTTCACTCCACAAGGGAAGGACCCTTGATGTGAGGACAGGGGCTGGGGCAGACAGGCGGGGGTGAGACTGGGGAGAGGGGGGCTTCCTGGCTCTCCCTAAGAGTGCCTCTAGGGGGGTGTGGGAACCCTAAGCCCAGCCAGGCCGGACAAGGGCTGAGAGCTCACACCCCGACACCTGACGAGACACCTGCTGGGGGCCAAGTTACCTTTGCCCTACGTTCTCGCTAACCCCCGGACCCGGGCAGGCACCGTTGGTCACGTCCAGGTCACGCACACTCTTCGCGGCTTTAATTGCGCGGTTGTAAACTTTGTCAAGTTCTTCCATGATAAACTTCAGATCTGAGCAGAGGTGAGGAGCAGCTGTGAAACGCCAGAACAGAAAGGGCAGGTACAGGAGAATCGCAACCAGCAGCAGGATGTAGGGGAAGAACTGAAAAACAAGACAGGGAATCGGGGGGTCAAGAGACTCCCCACTGAAGCGACCCGACCGCACTAGGTGCTGCTCTTGGTTTCCTCATTTGGACGTGTGCGCCTCTGTCGCTTATGGTCACCAAGTGCCTTATCTAATAACCACTTCCCATGGCTAAATTCACCTGCTCAGCTATCTGATACCATTAACTACCTTTTTTCTCCCCCTTCAATGGACTGTGAAGTAATGTGAAGTAACTGGCGACTACATGGTGGCAGATGGTGTCTCCTCTCTAATCACAGAAGGAAAAGAAAAAGAAAATTACTCCCACGAATTTCAGAGTAATCTGTCAATAAAACCCCAATTAAGGAACAGGCAAATGTCACTGGTCTCTGCTGGGTTTTTTAAATACTGTGGTTTTAGGAGGTCACTAAGGCTTAGAGCTCTGCTGTTGTTTTTATTCCTTCTCAGAAATCTGGGGGAACGACAAAGTCAAAACAAATAACTGTACTCAAAACAAGTTAGAAATATTGTGGTTTCAGGGAAGCAGTCATCACCTCCATTAAAGAGCTGAAATGTTAAAATTCACAGAACGCGGAAGGGACCTCCTGCGCTGGGACAGACCTGAGAACCCTCACTTTATAGCTGAATGATCTCACGTCCGGAGCGGCCAAGCACAGTGGAACACAGTCAGGAGGGCAGCGTCCAGATGTGGATGTATATGCAACACTAATGTGAAGGGATGCAGAGGCCGGCCATCTAACAGACGGTCTCATGACAGTAACGCTGAAGCGGTGAAGAGTACACAGTATTCCAAGATAGCTGTGATTTCCGTACTGACAAAGCCACAGGTCCCATTCCTACCACTATGGACTGCGGCTATGTTCATACATAGTTTTGTTAGACTTTAGTTAGAAGCACATAAGGAATAAAGTTGTCTTGTTTTCCTATCCCAGTTTCCGGACGTCCCAATGCTATCAGGGAGCCATGTTAGGAATCCCTGCCCCTGAAGGAAGAGAGAAATAGCACATGCAGCTCTGAACCTTTGCCAAGCACTCTCACCAATACAGCTGCTTCTCTTTGGGTTGTGGCATAGGATGTGGTCTCTCAAAACTATTATCCCAGCTTGCAAAGGGCGGCTACACAAATGACGCATACAGCAGGCTGTATTTTGGCTGCTGCAGTGAGTAACTTTGTTCCTTCAGTCCTTGCCCACTCTGGAGGGTGCCCTTTGGCATAAAATGTAACTGCATGACACAGAGTGTGTGTGGCTTCTATAACCAAGAGAGCCACACATTTTCTTTGGGAACCACAGAGGAAGGCTCTTTCTAACCTGGGGCTGTGAAATGTTTTTATAAGTCACTTTTGTTTCAAATAGCTTTGAAATAGCATTTTACCTCAAACTGTTTTCCTGAATTAAAAAGTGACCGTTAACAGTCTTTCACAATTTTTCTAACATGCCCACATGGTGCAATAATGAGGACCAATGAGTGGTTCAGCACAGCTTAGTATAATTAGAAAAATGAACGTTTAAAGGTATTATATATATATTGCATACTGGGTGTTTGCTTTCTTCTAAAATACAACCTTGTACCTTGATCACCTCTGTAGGAATGTAGTTAAAGGCCCCATTTCTTGATATTCCCCACAGTTAAACCTCTTTTTTTTTTTTTTTTTT